CTCCTGCGCCGTGCATGGCGGTCGAGATCCTATTCCACTGAAATTAAGCGTCATTAGGACAAGACTGCGGAAGTTCAGCATGCAGTGCGTCTTGATAGGCTTGCCTGACCGAGGACGGAGACAATTTCTCTGTTGCCTATCGGAGGAGACGCTTTGTGCGCCTCCCTGTAAAGTTCATGGAGAAACGACAACGTACCAAGGCATGATCAGAGTCGACACAGGTACTCCAGTACGAGCGGCAATCCAGGATGGAACCACGCCATCTGTAACTTATGGCAATGTGATCAATTTGGGTACATCGCTGGCCAGCTGCAGGAGGACGCCAAGTGGCACTTCGGCGCCCACTGTGTCTAAAAGCAGTGCTACTAAGAAACAACTGATGCTCCGTGCACAGTTGCAGCAGACGCTCACCGTTGTCAGTCCGTACGGAGTTAAGCCCACATTTACCACCTAGCTGAGCTTCTGAAGAGCTCAGACGCCCAACTTGTGCGTTCATATCCCCTGCAAGTACTATAATATCTGAACTAGTAGTCGCAACGAGACTGGACCTTAACGTGGTGTTACGGTTTGCGTACCTTACTGATCCATTGAGCTATACTGGATGATGCATCCGAACATCTTGAGAGCTACTCCTACCAGGTTGGTCAATGGTGAGAGGTCAGACAAACTCAGTCTCCTGGTCCTCCAGGTTGGGGGTTTGAAATGGGATGGCGTCCATTTCTGTAAAACTAAATCATTGCCACCTCCCCGCTGCCTTGCGGACAGGCTTTTGAGCCAAAGGCTTTGGACGAGGACCCTAATCGTTCTCCTGTCTAGGTCTGGGCGCCGTGGCAGTATCTCAGCCCACATACAACCATGACATTTTCTTCAAACATAAACTGCATCCTGCATCGACCGTCGCGCAGATTATCAAGGGTCGTCATATCTGCTGCATACAGCAGGGCGGATAAGCGAAAACACCCTACTGCTGGCGCTTCCCTTCTTTCTTTTCCACCTTTTTCTCATACTCCCATCCCGACCTCCATTACTAACCTTCCTTCTATAATTCCCAGCTTAATTGACAGCAACCGAAGTGCTACTGGAGTAGAACCATCTGCAGCCACCATCTCACAGCACCTATCAGACGCCTATCGGCAAAAGTCCCTTATAAGGCCACGCTATCCCGTTTCCATGGCGACATTCAATGATGCCTACACCAGCTTGACCCGTGAGTGCCGCATCGGCGTCTGCAGATGCGTGCAAACAATAACGAGAGGATAAGCCGGGTGCAGTCAATTCAATAACCCCGTTAGGGTCATTGATCCTAGTTTCGGACACACAACACACAACAATACCCAGTGTGTCCAAGTGTGTGCGAGTGCAGCCTGTTGACCTGTTTGTCTTAGAGTGGGAACATTGAATGTCGCCATGGAAACGGGATAGCGTGGCCTTATAAGAGACTTTGGCCGATAGGTGCTGTGGGATGGTGGCTGCAGATGGTTCTACTCCAGTAGCACTTCGGTTGCTGTCAATTAAGCTGGGAATTATAGAAGGTAGGTTAATAATGGGGGTCGGGATGGGAGTAAGAGGAAAAGGTGGAAAAGAAAGAAGGGAAGCGCCAGCAGTAGCGTGTTTTCGCTTATCCGCCCTGCTGTATGCAGCAGATAAGGCGACCCTTGATAATCTGCGCGACGGTCGATGCAGGATGCAGTTTATGTTTGAAGAAAATGTCATGGTTGTATGTGGGCTGAGATACTGCCACGGCGCCCAGACCTAGACAGGAGGACGATTAGGGTCCTCGTCCAAAGCCTTTGGCTCAAAAGCCTGTCCGCAAGGCAGCGGGGAGGTGGCAATGATTTAGTTTTACAGAAATGGACGCCATCCCATTTCAAACCTCAAACCTAGAGGACCAGGAACCCGAGTTTGTCTGCCCTCTAACCATTGACCAAGCTGGTAGTAGTGGCTTTCAGTTAAGCCCGGAGGCACCACCCAGTATAGCTCAATGGGTCAATGAGGTACGCAAACCGTCGCACCACGTTAAGGTCCAGTCTCGTTGCGACGGAGAAGACGCTTGGTGCCTCTCCTCGTAAAGTTCATGGAGAAAGGACAGCATACACAAGACATGATCAGAGTCGACGCAGTTACTCCAGTACGAACGGCAATCCAGGAGGAAAGCACGTCAGCTGTAACTTATGGCCATGTGGTCAATTTGGGTACATCGCTGGCCAGCTACAGGAGGACGCCAAGTGGCACTTCGGAGCCCACTGTGTCTAAAAGCAGTGCTACTAAGAAACAACTGCGTGTTACGTACACAGTTGCAGCAGGCGCTCACCGTTGACAGTCCGTTCGGAGTTAAGCCCATAAATACCATCTAGCTGGGCTTTTGAAGAGCTCAGACGCCCAACTTGTGCGTTCATATCCCCTGCAAGTACTATAATATCTGAACTAGTAGCACTGCGTAATAGCGTATTCAGTTCGTGATAGAACGTGCCCTTGACAGCATTTGAACTGCAGTCAGTGGGAGCATAATCGGAGATTAGAAACAAACAGTTTTGTACTACTTCGTGAATTAACCTTGGCTGTCGTTAAACGGGCTGCACATAAACGGCTGTTCGCCGGAATCCAGTCAACCAACAATGGCTCAGCCTTGGAGCTGAGAATGATACCTACACCAGGTTGACCCGTGAGTGCTGCGTCGGCGTCTCCGGATGCGTGCAGTCAATAACGAGAGGAGAAGCCGGGTACAGTTATTTCATCAACCCCATTAGGGTCATTGATCCTAGTTTCGGACACACAACAATATCCAGTGTGTCCAACGTACGTGCGAGTGCAGCATGTTGATTTGTTTGTCTTAGAGTGCGAACATTGAACGTTGCCATGGAAACGGGACAGCGTAGCTTTAATAGGGACTTTTGCCGACAGGTGTGGGATGGTGCCTGCAGATGGTTTTACTCCAGTTTGCTGTCAATTAAGCTGGGAATTAAAGAAGGAAGATTAGTAATTGCGGTCGAGATGGAGCAAGAGAAACAGGCGGAAAAGAAAGAAGGGAGGAGCCAACAGTGGCATGTTTCCTCTTAGCCGCCCTGCTGTATGCAGCAGATAAGGCGACCCTTGATAATCTGCGCAACGGCCGATGCAGGATGAAATTTATGTTTGAAGAAAAGGTCATGGTGGTTGTGATGAAGCTTCTACAACTGGATCTGAACTGCTCTCTTGGGCCAGATGAGCTGCATCCCTTATTCCTTAAGACTATAGCCGAACACATCGCTGATCCCCTTTGGCAAATATTTCGCCACTCCCTCGAGGTAGGCTGTTTACCCACTGACTGAAAAGAAGGCACTGCGATGCACAAGGGTGGAGATCACGAAGATCCGGCGAACTAGTGCCCAACCTTCGTGACATCCGCCGTCTCAAAGACCATGGAACGAATCCACAAATGCCAGCTCCAGCTACATTGTGAGAACTACGACGCAACAGTGCCATCCCAACATGGTTTCTGGCAAGCACGTTCCTAGGTCCCAACTTTGCTAGTCGCCAGAGAAACTTGGGAACACGCCATAGATGCCCAAAAACAGACATGTCTTCATCGACTTCAGCAAAGCCTTTGACAAAGTTCCTCACCAAAGGCTACTGTTCAAGCTTCAGATCGGTGTGACGGGCGAAGTCCTCTCCTGGATCGCCCACTTCCTAAGAGACCGCGGTCTATGTGTAAAGGTTAATCAAAGCACATTCGCTCCTGTGCCAATCACAAGTGGCGTTCCACAAGGATCTGTAATTGAACCAGAAATTTTCAAAAACGTACATAAATTACCTCCCGGTTGAGCTATAAACCGAATGATTGATCAACGGTGATGATCTTAAGTCCTGGTCAACAGTATGCAGCTTAGACAATGCCGATAAATTACAAGAGGCTCTAGATAGGCTGCACGAGTGGTCTACCAGGTGGTGATTACCAGTAAATCGCGATAAACGTGCGGTTCTCCCAATCGGTAAAATTAACCTATACTACATTGATGGGTTTCTCCTCAAGAACACCACTCAGGAAAAGGATCTCAGGGTTACCGTACCCTCTGACCTTAGGACATCCGAGGATACACTGAAGTAGGTCGCAGCCGCAAAGAATTCTAGGTGCCTTGAGGTCATTCTCCCGAATGACTCCTGGGATCTTCCTACCTCTATACATCGCATGCGTACGTTGCATACTAGAATATGGGCAGAAGGCCGTTTTTTCCCTCTTTGAGTGCTCTTTGATAGAAGGTCCAGAGGCGTGCTTCGAAAGCTCTCTTCGGGCTCCGCGATATTCCTTACCATATGAAACGGAGTTCCGCCGTCGCCCCGGCGATCTCATCTACACTAGACGTATCCTTCTTAGGGGACTCGGAAACAAGTTAGTACAGTTCTTCCACCCCAACGCCGACTGCCCGACGTAACAAATGGAAGCTGTTCAAACTACGAAGGCTCCACGCTCGATCAGACCTCACTATTTACCCAGGGGGTGAATGAGTGGAACAGTTTACCAAAGGAAATTGTTGACGCACCTCAGGATGAATGTTTCAAGAAGCTTCTAGACAAAAACCTAATGAAGATGCTGGGATCCTGCTGCTCTCGCGGCAACTACGACGAAACATCGAGGAACGTCGTCACCACGACACGCAGCTAACCCATAATTAGTAAGAACCGACTGAGCTGACTAGGGTTTCTTCCTCTGCTCTCTACAATCCAATGAACCAATGAATCACGAGTACACTAAATATTGCTGCAAAATTATCTGAGATAATAGAACAAATAGTGGGTACATGCATTTATTTTAACAGAACTAATGATTCTCACTGAGAAGACCTAATCGGTAGCCGGGGCAGAGCTCGGAGAATCCCCACTTTGTTTCTTTACGCCAGAGACAACATCATCAATACGCAACAGCAGGATAGCAGTCTGCAAAAATGAAATAAAAAAGTTAAGACATACCTCGATAGCTGTCTTGAATGTTTGGGCTTTGACTACCAAGGGATCCCAGACATTTAACTCCCGCATGTCTGCTAACTGCCCGGAAGTACCGTCAACTCCAAGTGTCCAGTACTTTGCAGGATCCATGGCGTGGCGGGCGCGTAATTCAGTAATAAGCCGCAAAACATTTGCCCCGCAATTTTTAGCCAGCGTCCGTGGTATTACTTCGAAAGCCTGAGCCATAGCCATATAGGCCATTTGTTGCACACCAGATACGGCCGATTTTGCCTTTTCCGTCAGTACCTGACCAAGAGCCATTTCAATAGCTCCGCCACCGGGCACCAAACGCTGCTCTAACGCAACGTTTCTAGCGACGTTCATCGCATCTTGTAAATTACGTTCAATCTCGTTGAGAACATCTTTGCTGGCGCCACGCAGCAAAATTGTGCACGCTTTTGGGTTCTATTGATGGTTTGATGAAAGAACGAGCCCTTACTTTGCACTTAGTTATGAAAGTAAAGTATTCATCGCCGATAGTTTTGACCTCGAACAAGCCTGCCTCTGTACCGATGTCGTCCTCTTTAATTTCTTCGGGTCGACTGACTATGGTTGCGCCAGTAGCTCTAGCAATCCTCAGATTATCCGTTTTTCTTAAACGTCTAATGACGGATATCCCGGCTTTGGAAAGAAAGTGCTGCGCAAGATCGCTTACGCCTTTCTCTGTTACAACAACATTAGGGTTGAACTTGATGATGTTATCGCATATCTCCTTGATGTATGCTTCTTCTATCTCCAAAGCGCGTCTGAGAAATATTATCAAGCGGGCAATCTTACGTGAAATCCTTGTCGGAAGTAATTTCTATTGATGTTTGACTTTCGCCTTTCTTGTATTCCAAGTTGCAATCTAAAAGTAAAATGCGAGGGTTCTCGATTTTTCTAGACATTCGAGGATGGACCACATCTTTATTGAACATGACGCCATCCAGAACTTGAGAATCCTCTATCGACCCTCCAGGTATCTTCAGAAATCAAACGAAAGCGGAAATTACTTTTTCCACCTTTGCATATCGCTTGATGTCGATTTCTTTACGTCCGTCACTATCCACAGTAACAGTCCTGACTGCATCCAAGGCGATTTGACACGCTAGGTCAGACCACTGGTTAACAAACTTGGTTCCAATGCAGCTTTTTATTAGGTTGTTCATCTCGTCTTTATTATTAATGTCTATAGGAATGCTAGAAGATTAAAAAAAGTTAAGTATGGGGTACCTGAGATTATCGCGCAAAGAACTCAGGATATCATCCAGCCCCTTACGGAAAGCAGCGATAATCTTTGTGGGATGTATTTGCTTTTCCAAAAGTGGGGCAGCAACACCTAACATCTCACCACCTAGAGAACGTCTCTGGGAATTCCAAGAAGCTTACCCAAAATAATGACAGAAGTAGTGCCGTCGCCAACCTCTTCATCCTGAGTTCGCGCTATCTCAATCATGGACTTCGCAGCTGGATGTTCAACTGTGATCTAAAACAGCTATAATGCAAATACACGATTTACCTCACGCAGTATGGCATTACCGTCGTTTGTCATAACAATACCACCCATAGGATCCATTAGCATTTTAAGCATGGCACGTGGACCAAGGCAGGTCCTGATTAAATCAGCAACGGTTTTCCCAGCTTCGATGTTGGCAAACCGCACAGATTTGCCATTCTCTCCCCGGGAATTTCGATCTGAGAAGGTGATGGTGAAATATGAATTGCATTACTAAGAACGAGAACTGGGCCACCAGATGGCATAACAATTCAGAGCGCGGTCTACTTGTGCGGCGTGATTTATGAGAGCGGAGCGACTGCGATTAGCAGTGCTGGGCAAGCGCAAGTTTAACTTAAGTTCAAGTGGGACGGTAACGATAAGATAATACTGTGCATGATTCTTCTTCAGCAGGTCGTTGGGTTCTATCTTTAAACACTTTTGAGTTCGCTCTTTTAGTGGTGGTTATCGAGGGCAACTAACTCCAACATGCCAAAATACCTACTGGGATAATTGCAAGACAAACTCCCCATATTCGTTACCTTGTACTCTCACCGGCACAATCAGATGTCACCGGCCTTGCGGTTCTTCAGCCCATTGGTAACAGTGATCACGGTGTGATTTCATTCCTCTGGACTCGACGCCTTACTCTCCTTAACCAAGGTCGCATCCGCAGAAATTTCTGGCGTGTTGATCCCCAACGCCTACAGACGGCCGCTAGTACTGTGGATTGGAGTATACCCGAACCCGGGGTTCTGGACCATGAGTGGAACCGCTTGCACTCCAAAATGATTTCTCTCGTCTAGCAGGCCGTTCCTGTCTACAAATGATCCTTTGCAATAGGTACTCCATGGACTGATCGAGAAGTGAGGAGTCTAATGCACAGAAGACGGAAACTGTGGGTCCGATTCAAGCTCACCCAATCCGAGTCTGACTATTCGGAATATAGTGGCCAGAAATACCTGCAGCTTAAAAAACGTGAGAAACGGCCTAAGTACGAGTTCTGTTTGGCCGTGCAATCCAATGCGACTCCCAAGGCATTCTTCCCTAAGCTGAAGAGAAGCACCAGAGTAGGCAGTGGTAGTCCTGCTCTGTATTCCTTGTTGCATTTTGGTTTACTTGACGATGGAGCTGCGAAATCCAGTCTCCTGCCCTGCAATATTCATCTGTTTACTCGACGGAGACGCCGTTTCCCAGTTACGCGGTGCCAATACTCCCTTCTTCCTTGGAGCATGTAGAAATGAGCGCTGATGTCGTTGCCATAGGCATTCGTGAATTAGATCCGAAGTCCTCGCCGGGTCCTGATGGGTTGCATCCACGCGGCTGTGGCCGATTACGTTGCCGCCCCTGTTTGCCGGGTATTGCGCCATTCTGTTGAGGTTGGACGGCTTCTGATTGGCTGGAACCTGGGGATTGTTAAACCCATACACAAAGGAGGAAATCGTCAAAATCCTGCCAATTATCGACCCATCTGCTCAACGTCAATATTGTGCAGGGTAATGGAGAGGATTCTCCATCGGGCACTTCTTCTCCAGCTCGAGAACCTAAACGTCATCGTTTGTGCGCAGCATGGTTTTCAGCGGGCATGCTCATGTTCTTTGAATCTGCTTGTGCCCCGTGAAAGATGGGCGAAATCTTTAGACGCTGGGAAACGTCTTGATGTTACTTTTGTCGACTTCACAAGGTCATTGCCAAGGTTCCTCATGAAAGGCTCCTTTATATACTACCAGGAATAGTTGTTTTTGGAAGGTTCTCTCTTGGATCACTGAGATTTTGGACGCCCGGACAATTCGAGTCGACATGAACGAGACTTATTCCGCTCCTGTGCTCATGACTAGCGGCGTCACACAGGGATCGTTCCTGGGCCCGGAACTTTTCAAGCTCTTCACCAAGGACCTCCCGGCGGAACCTCCGTTGGATTGCTCGATTTACGCTGACGAATTGAAGCTGTGGACATAGGTATCCTGTTTTGACGATGCGAATCGATTACAGGCTACACTTGATACGGTAAATGAGTGGGCGGTCAAATGGCGATTGCCCATAAATGGCGATTAGTGCTCGGTTCTCCCCATTGGTACTCTGAAGCCATTCGGGGCGTACTACATTGATGGGACATTGCTCAGAACTTTAATCCTTGAAAAGTCCTCGGCGTGTTGGTGTCATCTGCTCTAGGAACTACACAGGACACGTTATGAAGGCTTGCTGTTGCCAACAGGATGTTCCATGCCCTACGAAGAGCCTTCAAGAGTTTGACTCCGGATATCTTCAGACGGTTGTTTACATCCCATGTCCGCCCCATTCATGGATACGGCTTACCTGCCGTCTCCCCTCTCACCAAGTTCGGATGTAACGTCATTGAAAAGGTCCAACCGCGGAGCTCGAAATACATCTTGGGGGAACGGGAATTGTCTTATCCCCTGAGTCTTAAGCGGATGAAGCTGTTCTCCCTGGATTATCGCCCACTTCGCAGTGAGCTGAGTTTCACCAGGCGCACACAGAGAGGAATGATGGGGGCGGAGCTGCTGGCGTGCTTTTAATTCAGTGCAAACAGTTCAACTCGAGGCCATAACTGGACACTGTTTAAACCCATAAGGCTCCGGTTTCATCCCGCTTTGGCTCTATCAACTCGCATTATCAACGATTGGAACGAAATACTGAAGCATATGGTTTCAAGCGAATGTTAGATGCTTAGCTTTTGAGTACCATGGGCGCTTGCAGCTTTCATTCTAGCTGTTAAGGTCCCTTGTAGATTACAGCTTATCAGGGAATCGCGGCCTCCACACAGTGATCGGGAAGCGATGGAGGTGATAAAGTATTTCTTCTTTTCCTCTCTACAATCCTTTGATCCTATGACCCAGGATTTGGCAGGCTTTGAACTACTGATAGATCTGTTCTCCCAGTTGGCTCTTTAAGCTCAAGTGAGACTGGAACGATAGAATGAATCTCGTAAGTGCTCCTTCTTGAAGGGTCGTCGATCCATGAGTTGATAGAAGTGCAACGACTTATCGATGGGTCTAAAACGAAAACACCCGAAAACAATCTGGTCTACCAATTTAATGTCCACGTTCCTTCCGCTAGCTATCCCTGTAACATCCATAACGTGAAGTACGAAAGGAAGAAAAATCGAAGGGAAAGAGGAAGGGAAATCAGTTAAAAGAAGAGAATAATACCAATTGTGAGGGAAAGTACAGAAAATAGCAACGAAGTATAAAGATGGGAATTAGTCAGGAAAAAGGAAAGCTTCCGTGTTGTCACCCAAGAGCATCTAATTGACGCTTAAACCCCTTAACCGTAGCTTCCTTGACAACATTTTCTGGAAGCAAGTTCCAGAGCTCCATGACTCGACGCGATAACCGTGGCTCCACTTAAACGCGATCGGGCCGCGGTTTGTCCAGCTTCATATTATGTCCGCGGAGACCAGATAATTTAGCAGGACTAGGTGGCCAGGCAACTCAGGACTAACCCCGGTCAAAATACGGTAGGTTCGAATTAGGTCCCCTCTATTTCTTTGATGGTGCGTTAAATGCATCCCCAAACTAAGTGGGCGTTCGAGGTATGTTTGCACTCGTAACCCCTCAACCAACCTGGTGCCGACAGGCAAAACCATTTCTAGTGCCATTTTGCCCCGGAAAAGGTGTGATGGACAGGCCTGGATGCAATATGCTAGGTGAAGTCGCAGAAACGCTGAGAAGAGCTTCACAAACACATTAGCGGTTAGGGTCCCGAAAGAACGACGGATAAACCACAACATCCGGAACCCTTTACTAGCTACCCTCTTCCAGTTGTCCCCGGAGTGTAATGTGAAACCATGGACGGCAACTAGAACAACCTGATGCGTCACGTAAGGAAGTTCACTCTCATCGAGCACCTAAATTGTGGAGGGATCAGACGCTCTAATACGCAGCACTGAACCCTGCGCGGTTTATGGGCAGCAACCAAAAGATAGCTCATTCCCAGAGTATATCCAGAGCCCATCGAAGAACCACATGACCTCCAGGGATAACAACAATAATCTAGAGCCTCAGGTCGTCAGCAAAGAAGAGTATGGTACCACACGCACCTACGCCAAGTCATTCACGTAGACTGAGAACACTTGCAGTCCTAGGACAGAGCCTTGCGCACCGCCTCTAAAGCCGGCTTGTCGAAAGGAAAGACTGCCCCTCACACAAATATACTATACCCGTCCATCCAGGAAAGCTGACACCCACTGGAGCGAGTGACCAGATATTCCGCACGACCTCAACTTCAGTGAGAGTCGCGAATGGGGGACAGTGTCAAAGGCCTTGGCGAAGTCAATGAACACCACATCCACAGCATGCCCAGTGTCTACGGCTTCAGCCCAGCTCTCAGGAGCTGTTGGCATGTTCGTTTGACACGAAAATCCTTTAAGAAAACCGTGCTGCTGTAAGCTAAGCAGGTTAAACATATTTACATTGTTCACCACTACATCTCGTACTATGTTCTCAAGTTACCTAGCGACCACGCTAGGCAAGCTGATAAGTCTGTAATTAGCCGGTAGGTCATTGTCACGGCACTTGAAAATCGGGTAGACAACAACCTCCTCCCATTCGGTAAGTAAGACACAACTGTCGAGTGACTTCTGAAAAAAACAAGCCAGAGATCCATTGAGTTCCACTGCCAATTGTGCGACTATTTTAAATGAACAGAATATGGCCCGGAAGCCTTAGTTGGGTGTACCTCTTGTAGCAACCGGAGAACCTGGGACTTTGTTACGAAATTTCGTCTGGACTACAGTCCTCAGAGACACATGAAGCGAATTCTTTGCATGGTGTTTTTGTTTCGCGCACAAAATCGCTTGCGTACTGTTCACCAAGCACGCAGGCCCTGTCAGAGTCGCTATGGGCATGGTCCCATCTCCTCGAAGAGTCGATGGCATGGACGAGCATGCATCACAGTGTTGATTAACGCAAGCAAAGAATTTATTGGGATTGTTCAAGGCAGTATCAGCTAAGCCCTTTTCATACTGAAGCCGGGCTAACCTGAGATGTAGCTTGCACACACTTCAAACGAATCGATACTTGTCTAACTTGCTGTTTGACGAGGCAGTTCGGTACGCCCGCCAGCATCTAGTCCGCCCCTTCAGCAGGCCCTTCCCCAGAGAATCTATCCACGGAGGCTGCGATCTCGATTCCCTTCTTTTTACCTGTGGGATGTGAGGTACAGAAACGTCGAGGTGAGTGTTAACTTTTTTCCAGGCTGTGTTAACAGTATCGGTTTCAGGTTTCACACAAGGCCATGACCTAGCTTTATCCCGCATCGTAGGAAGTCCGCGACCCAAAGGTTCGGATAATAATTGGTAGTAGCTTGGCAAGGCCTGCTAAGGGTACACTGGAAAGACGCGCAAACGTGCTGGCTGGCGCC